GAGGGAAATGGACTTCCTTGTTTTTTCTTTGGAAGATGTTTTGCTTTTCATCCAAGGAGCTTCCTTAGCTCTGACAGTACAGAGGGGAATGGAAAAAAGAAGGAAGCCCAGTTGTCTCCCGAAAGAGCCCCTTTGGGACAGGTTTCCTCTCTCTTCTTTCTGGCAGCCCCTCAAATATCGGAAGACTGTTATAATGTCCCTCCCAGTCCTTCTTGTAGTGGATCTGATATGCAGACATCAGTTTCCCCACATCTCCCAACTGAAAAGACCTTGAGCTCTTCTCCGCTCTTTTTAATTTGGAAGCAAAGGGGCAACACCCAGCCAGCCTCACCCGATTCTGAAAAGCTACGTCAGACCTTGTTGGCATCTGGATTAATTCCCGATCTGTGGCTGGACTAGAAAGGTCACCAAAACAAATCACATCCGGGAAACCTTTAGACTGTTGCCAGAGAAACGGTACGGCCCCATTTATAGATCACAGGAGATTCTGAACTTTTATCTCAGGATATAAACCACGGATGCAGAATTTCCTGAATGCCCCACCTTTTGACTTATCAAGGAACATAAGAAATCAGAAGCCTTTCATTCCATGCATCTTTTACTACCATCTGCACTAGAGAACAGCTGGGCATCTTTGGAGATTTCAAGCACCTGTTTTGTGGCTCCCAAAGTTGCCTTAATGGCATCGCCTTCCCCATTGTCTGGGGCGTTTTTGCATGTCAGCCACACAATTCTCAAAATCAGAGGCTCTCACCCCGTTTTAGAAACAGGAAATGCAGAGAAAGCACCGAGTAGGCCAGGGGTGTCAAACTCGATTTCATTGAGGGCCACATCAGGGTTGTGTTTGACCTCAGGGGGCCGGGTGGACGTAGCCAGGGTGGGCATGGCCAGCTCAATGTCACTCATCAAGGCTCCATTTTCAGCCACAACGGCCCTTCCGGGCTCTGTTTTTGGCTACGACAGCCTCCTGCAGCCCTCTGCCAGCCCAAAGGGAGTTTGGGAGGGCCATGCACAGCTCTTCCAGGCTCTGTTTCGGACTGCGATGGCCTCCTACAACCCTCTGCCACGCGGCCTCCCTGAGCTCCATTTTCACTGGCAGAGGATTGCAGGAGGCTTTCGCAGCCCAAAACAGAGCCTGGGAGGCTGTGTGTGGCCCTCCCAACCTCCCTTTTGGCTGGCAGAGGCACCACAGGCAGGTCCTTCACTATTTTCAGGGTGCGCCCGTGGGCCAGATCTAAGCACCACATGGGCTGGATCTGGCCCCCGGGCCTTGAGTTTGACACCCTGGTGTAGGCCATAAAAATTAGAATTTTAAAACACAAGCAGACAAAAACTGCAATGCTCTTAAAGCCCAATCAGTTCCAGCCACGTCCTACTAATATCACACGGCCCTGCCTCCTCTGCATCAACCCCCCCCTTGCAAAACATTACCAAATGTTGCCCTTCCACCAACTAAGGGGACCCAGGCCTGCGGTGAAGAGACTCACAAGGGACACTGGGTTGGTCTCATTCAAACTGCGTGGCCTAACATTTCTTCCCTCTCCATTTCCCAACCAATTTCTCTTCCTTGTTGAATCAACCCCCATTCTAGTGCCCAGAAACCCAAACATTTCAGTCCTGAAGAGGATGAACCTCAAAGGCTTCCCCTCACCCTCTGCTGCTCCCAACCAGGCTGCTCCGTCCTCTCTCACCTGCCTATGGAGATACTTGTGCTCGTATTTCCCAACTGGGACTCCGTCCAGCAGGACCTCCCCGGATTGGGGTTCATAGAAGTGCTCCAGGAGGGCGACGCAGCTGCTCTTTCCGCTGCCGTTTGGGCCCACCAAGGCCGTCACTTCCCCAGGGCAGAGCTCAAAGAAGACATTCTACGCCAAAGAGATGCAAATGCATGCAAAAGGAAGCAGGAAGAGGTGATGTTAATGAACGCACGTAAAGGCCGGCCATCTACAACTCCATCAACTTCTAAAAAAGCCACACTCAACAGGCACCCTATGAATGTCACACACAGAACAGCCCAAAGCACACACTCTGCTGTGAGAAAGCTCCCTGAGGANATCCTTTCCAAGTCCCTTTGGTTCTTCAGCCGGCAAGTGTTCCCCAAGAATGCCTCGTAACGCTGTGACTCCTCCTCCTCGGTGGCAAAGCTGCACACGGTCTCCATGGACGAGATGACCTCACGCACCACCTCCTCTGAACAGGCCATGGAGTCCTGGATGGCCTTCAGCAAAGCCTTGATGGACCATGAAGGAAGCAGCAAAGTCAGCCTCCTGAAAGCTGCCTTGGACCAGGCATCCTGCCGGTGGTGGCCTACCCAAACCAAAGTCAAGTGGCCTCGTTCTTAGTGGAAAGCCCCCAAAAATGCTTCCTTCCACTCCACCCCATTTGATTTCGTTTCTTTCTCGCCTGTGACCAACCGGATGCCAGAGGAGAAGCTAAAGAGGGAGATGTATTCTCCCACTGTTATGCTTCCTTCCCACAGTCCACTGGAGAATTTTCCCTCCATGCACAGAGGGGAGCTGAAATTCTTCAGGAGCCTCTAGGAACATTGGAAAGCAAAAGCGGTGCCTGCTAAGAGGATTTCACCAGATTTCAGCTACCAGACTTCAGGCAGTTCTTTTGCTCCATCCTATAATGACCTGAGAGGTGGTGATCGGGAGTTCCTGGAGGGCAGCCATTGGCCAAAACAATTATGAAAGAGTGTTCCTTAACAACCATTTCGCTCAGTGACCAATTCTGGTCTCATTTGGGATCATAACTAGACACCCATCTGCTTTTTCCCTATATTTCTATTTCAGAGGTGGTATTCAGGAGGTTCTGACCAGTTCTGGAGAACCAGTAGTAGAAATGTTGAGTAGTTCAGAGAACCGGTAAATACCACCTCTGACTGGCCCCACCCCCATCTATTCTCTGCCTCCGAGTTTCAGCAGATCAGGAGGAAATGGGGATTTTGCAGTATCCTTTCCCTGCCACTCCCACCAAGCCACACCCACCAAACCATGCCACACCTACTAAGCCACGCCCGCAGAACTGGTAGTAAAAAATTTGAAACCCACCACTGTTCTATTTGCCTTCAAATTGGCTTCCTCATCCTCTTTTTCAGCTACTTCTCTGTTCCTTCTTGTAGCTACTGGCATGAAGTAACCTCCTCCTTTTCCTGTCTTCCCTTGAGGACAATGATAGGGGTGCACACGCACAATCCCTTTTCTTTCAGCCTAGGAAAAGGGGAAACCAGGCTACACAACCAACAACTCCTCCTTTTGTGCAAGCCGCACAGACAAAGGAGTGGGGTTGGATCACATGGCCGCCATCTTGCCTTTTCTGGCCTCCTGGAGATGCCACCGTCTTCTGGTGCTGCTCAGCTCCCTTAAAGTCTCTTTTTTCTTCTGCCCTCTGGCTTCTTTCTCCTTTCTCTGAACTGGCCCATTCCCTCCCTCACCCAAGTTGGGGCTCCTTCCCCGCCTGCAATTGGCCGCAGAAACCCAGAAGTGTCCACCATTCCCNCACCTCTGACTGCCCCCACCCCCATCTATTCTTTGCCTCCCGAGTTTCAGCAGATCAGGAGGAAATGGGGATTTTGCAGTATCCTTTCCCTGCCACTCCCACAAAGTCACACCCACCAAACCATGCCACACCCACCAAACCATGCCACACCTACTAAGCAACGCCCACAGAACTGGTAGTAAAAAATTTGAAGCCCACCACTGTTCTATTTTCCTTTAAATTGGCTTCCTCATCCTCTTTTTCAGCTACTTCTCTGTCTCTCCTTGTAGCTACTGGCATGAAGTAACCTCCTCCTCTTTTTCCTGTCTTCCCTTGAGGACAGGGATAGGGGTGCACACGCACAATCCCTTTTCGTTCATCCAAGGAAAAGGGGAAGCCAGGCTACACAACCAACAACTCCTCCTTTTGTGCAAGCCACACAGACAAAAGGAGTGGGGTTTGATCCCATGGCCGCCATCTTGCCTTTTCTGGCCCCCTGGAGATGCCACCGTCTTCTGGTGCTGCTCAGCTCCCTTGAAGTCTCTTTTGTCTTCCGCCCTCTGGCTTCTTTTTCCTTTCCCTGAACTGGCCCATTCCCTCCCTCACCCAAGTTGGGGCTCCTTCCCTGCCTGCAATTGGCCCCAGAAACCCGGAAGTGTCCGCCATTCCCTCTAGGCCACCCTCTGCCTCCATGATCCCTACCTGACGACGGCCATCATAGACCTTCTGGGCGGCCATCATGAGTGGGGTCTCGATCAGCATCAGCAGCGTCAGGCGCCAGGACAGGCCGATCATGAACATGTAGAGCCCAATGGCCTTGATCAGGGTGCGCAGGAAGACGTTGGTGTTGAGCGGCACTGAGCGGCTCATCATAGTTGTCTCTTTGGAAAGGCGGGAGGCCAGCGCCCCTGTGGACAAAGAGATGTTGTTCCACAAATGCCACACACAGGAAGGGCGATTCTGGAGAACAGTCCCCCCAGGAAGGAGAGGGCCAAGTTCTTGACACGGTATCCAATGACAGCAAAGAGGATGCTCTTTGCTCAGTGGCTAAGACGCTGAGCATGTCGATCAGAAAGGTCGGCAGTTCGGTGGTTCAAATCCCTAGTGCCGCGTAACGGAGGGAGCTCCCATTACCTGTCCCAGCTTCTGCCAACCTAGCAGTTCAAAAGCATGTTAAAAAAATGCAAGTAGAAAAATAGGAACCACCTTTGATGGGNAAATTTTGGGTTTGGACAACCTGGAACTATGCTGCCAATGGTCTGACCTAAGCATAGTACATAAAATTGTCTGCTACAACATCCTACCTATCAACAACTGCTTCAGCTTCAACCTCAATAATACTCAGGCAAACAATAGATACAAACTCAAGGTAAACTCTTCCAAACTCAATTGCAGAAAATACGACTTCAGCAACAGAGAGGTCAATGCCTGGAATGCTCTACCTGACTCCGTTGTTACATCCACAAATCCCCACAGCTTCAACCTTCAACTGCCTACTATAGACCTCGCCTAAGAGGTCAGTAAAGGGGGCGTGCCTAAGCGCTCCAGTGTGCCTTCCGTCCTTGCCCTACTCTCCCCATTTATTTGTACTCATTTCCATTGTTCATGCCCATGTTTATACTTATACCTGTCATCTCATAATGTTTGACAAACTAAATAAATGAAGAAAAAAAAAGAAAAACCAGTTATTAGAGGATCTAGGTCAGGGGTCACCAACCTTGGCAATTTTAAGACTTGTGGACTGCAACTCCCAGAATTCTTCAGCCAGCCATGCAGTCTCCAAGTCTCAAAGTTGCCAAGGTTGGAGAGCCCTGAGTCCCCGAGAACTTACCCATACAACAAATAGGTAAAGGATCCTTTCCAAGTCCCTTTGGTTCTTCAGCCGGCAAGTGTCCCCCAAGGATGCCTCGTAACGCTCTGACTCCTCCTCCTCGGTGGCAAAGCTGCGTACGGTCTCCATGGACGAGATGACCTCACGCACCACCTCCTCTGAACAGGCCACGGAGTCCTGGATGGCCTTCAGCAAAGCCTTGATGGACCATGAAGGAAGCGGCAAAGTCAGCCTCCTGAAAGCCGCCTTGGACCAGGCATCCTGCCAGTGGTGGCCTACCCAAACCAAAGTCCAGTGGCCTCGTTCTTAGCGGGAGGCCCCCCNCCTGGCTTTTACTGGCAAGCCGGAAGGGAAAAGGCAACTCCCCTGGGATTAAGTCAGTGGTAGTGGGATTCACATTTTTTAAAATTACTGTTTCTGTGGGCGTGGCTTGGTGGGTGTGGTGGGGCGGGGTGTGGTGGATGTGGCTTGGTGGGAGTGGCTTGGTGGGAGTGGCAGGGAAAGGATACTGCAAAATCCCCATTCCCTCCCGATCAGCTGGGACTTGGGAGGCAGAGAATAGATGGGGGTGGGGCCAGTCAGAGGGGGTATTTACTGGTTCTCTGAACTACTCAAAATTTCCGCTACCGGTTGTCCAGAACTGGTCAGAACCTGCTGAATGCCACCTCTGGAGTAAGTGGTACTGGGATAAAAAAAGAATTGGCTGAGGGATTCAATGAAGATCAGGTGAGGTGCCAATTCCATTCTATGCAGCCTTAGTAAGACCACACCTAGAGGACTGCACCCAGTTTTGGTCCCCACAATGTAAAAAAGATGTTGAGACTCTCAAAAGAGTGCAGAGGAGAACAAGAAAGTTAATTAGGGGACTGGAGGCTAAAACATACCATGAACAGTTGCAGGAACTGGGCACGGCTAATCTAGTGAAGAGAAGGACCAGGGGAGACATGATAGCAGCCTTCCAACATTTGAGGGGCTGCCACAGAGAGGAGGGGGGGTCAAGCTATTTTCCAAAGCACCCGAAGGCCAGATAAGGAAAAATGGGTGGAAACTTAAAATGGAGAAATTCAATCTGGAAATAAGGAGAAAAGTTTTGACAGTGAGAACAATCAACCCTTGGAACTGAAGTTGCCTTCGGAAGTTGTGGGAGCTTCATCACTGGGAAAATCCAAGAAAGGGATTGGACTGACATCTGTCAGGAATGGTGGAGGGTCTCCTGCTTGTGGGGGGGGGGGTTGGACTAGATGACCTACAAGGTCCCTTCCAACTCGGTTGATCTAATCTAATCTAATTGGTGAAGCCGAGATCAGAACCACATTTGCAGCAGGGATCTGGCTGAGCTTGGTTGGTCTCAAAAAAAGTTAAGCCGCATCAAAGCGGGTAATATCTGGATGGGAGGCCACTAGGAGACCCCACAGCATAGATTACATTGGGAAGTCAAAAAACCATCTCCAAAGAAGGCAACAGGGAACAGCTTCCTTGGAGCTGGCAAGAGGAGAAAAATGCCCCAGTATCTCCATGAAGGCAACTCCATTTAACGTGGTCACCCCATATATGCCTTTTGTGGAGAAGATGCCGGGCGACCACAGCTGGGAATGTCTATAAGGCAGTGGTGAAATTCAATTTATTTTACTGCCAGTTCTGCCAGGCTTGGTGGGCGTGACAGGGGAAGGATACTGCAAAATCCCCATTTTCTCCCAATCAAATGGGACTTGGGAGGCAGAGAATGGATGGGGACAGGGCCAGGCAGAGATAGTATTTATCGGTTCTACAAACTATTCAAAATTTCCGCTATCAGTTCTCCAGAACCTGCTGAATTTCACCCCTGCAGCAAAGATGTTGANTTTTCCCACGGACAGATCTATCCCAATGTTTGAGGTTAAATTACAGGCAGTCCTCGAGCTACAACAGTTCACTGAGTGACTGTTCAAAGTTACAACGACACTGAAAAAAAGGACATGACCATTTTTCACAGTTACAACCGTTGCAGAAGCTTCGGAAGGGACTCCTATTTATTTTGATTTCTTTTTGCTATAAGTAGAAAGAGCAACAATTTCTGTTATTTAACCATAGATAAAACAAATCCCATATTTCAAAATCTTTAGTGTCTTCCTTCTCTTTCATTTCAAGCATTAGTTTATCCATTTCTGCACATTCTAGTGTTTTATTTATTCTCTTCTCTTCTGTGGGGATCTCCACACCCTTCCAATGTTGTGCAAATATAATTCTAGCCACCGTTAACACATGTAGTTTCCCCGAAAATAAGACTTCCCCAGATAATAAGCCCAATCGGGCTTTTGAGCGCATGCACTTAAATAAGCCCTCCCCTGAAAAGAAGCCTTCCCCAAAATATTTAAATGCATGCACAGCCGGTTCCCGCCCTTTCCTCCTCTGGTTGGTTGCCCCGCAAACAAAAGAAGGTGAGGCGAAGCTGGAGGGGGGAAAGGAGGAGGGAAACATGTCCCATGCACCCCACACGCCCTTACCTAATGGCCATTCCTACAACCCCAGCCACCGCGCTCCCCCTCTCACGCTAACAGCCGCTGCAAAAAGAGCAGCAGGCCCAGCGACGTGCAACACAGCAGCGGCCATGAGGTGACCATGCTCTCTTCCTCCTGCACCTCAAAAACAAGAAGACCTCCCTGAAAATAAGGCCAGGTGTTTATGTCGGGGGTCAACAATAAAGAAGACCCTTTCTTATTTTCGGGGAAACACGGTATATTTTTTTTGGTATGATATCAAACAGAAATATTGGGACATGTGATCAAAACTCAGATGCTTGGCAACTGACTCCTATTTATGACGGTTGCAGTGTCCCGGGGTCATGGGATCCCCTTTTGCGACCTTCTGACCAGCAAAGTCGATGGGGAAACCAGATTCCCTTAACGTCTGTGTTACTAATTTAACAACTGCAGTGATTCACTTAACAACAGCGGCAAGAAAGGACGTTAAAATGATGCAAATTTCACTTTAACAACTGTCTCGCTCAGCCCCATAAATTTTGGGCTCAGTGGTAGTCGTAAGTCGAGGACTACCTCTACTTCTGACGGATGCTCTTCCCCCATTTCGAAACTCTTTTCCTTTTGAATTTAAATCAGCAACAAGATCCCTGACAGAAGCCAAGAACAGATGTTCCCTTAGAAAATCTTTTTCCCCTCTTTTTGGAGATTCGTCTTCAAGCGAAAGGCAGGGACAGAGCACAAGTTGTAACTGGTTATAGGCTTCTGCCAGGTTGCAAAACAAGCAGCTAAGGAGAAACCAAGGGCTCCTGTTTCCTTCAGGAGGACTCCAGAGAAGACCCTGATTGTTCAGACTTTTCTTGAAATCCTAACATTGGGCGGGTGCAGCTTTTTTTCAGGCTTCTCCTGGCTTTTACTGGCAAGCCGGAAGGGAAAAGGCAACTCCCCTGGGATTAAGTCAGTAGTAGTGGGATTCACATTTTTTTTATTACTGGTTCTGTGGNTCTTTGAGATAAGAGATGGGTTGAACCAAGAGTCAAAGAAATCCAGAGGGTCTCAAGCATCATCATTTTTTTCCATTTTGTCTCCCTTCAGAGTGAGGGAAAACTTTATCACAATTTCTTATTTATATATTATTTATTGCCTTTACAAATAAAAAATTGCAATCCTGCTCGTTTTACAATCCTGTCTATTTCTAACAAACTTTGTTCTAGTATGATCTTTCTTTCATGCCTATTTTCTCAGAACTATTTTTATAATCCTATTGTACGTAGCCCTCAATTTAATACCAGTCAGTTAATGATTGGTCAAAGTAGTTTTCTGCCTTTAAAGAATTTCTGGCTGTCGTAAAGCATTGCTCCCCACCTGCGATCACATGACTACATTTTTGGCAGGTGGCAACTAGCTCACATTGACAACTGGTTGCCGAACTCCCCATGATCACCATTTGAGATCTTCTCTGCCAGTTTCGGCAGAAACTGCAAAAACCGGCAAGGAAGGTTGAAAGTGAAAAAGAGCTGAAATCCTGAAGATTTCAGTTCCGTTCCTGCAGCCCACTGAAGAATTTCCCGTCAATGCTTGGAGGGCAGCTGAAATTCTTTATTGGGATGGAGGAGCATTTGAGAGTGAAAAAAGCCTCCAACTTTGCGCAGAGATTTGCACACATTTCAGCTATAGTATGCAGCATTTTTGCTCCATCTTCTTAATAACTTGGGAAATCACTTAATGACCACAACTGGGAATGCCAGGATAGCAGACATAATCAAAACAATCATGTGGGCATCTTGCTTAATTACCACTTTATTAAATACCCCAGATTCCAGTCCCAACTGTGATCACAAGTTGAGGATATATTGTAGGAAATCCCTCAGCTTTTCTCCTATATTTTTGTCTGTCTCTACTTTCTTTCTTCTCGTCTTGCCCCAACTCCTTCTCTCTCTCTCCTTGTAGCTATCAGTAGGCGGCATCTCATCCTCCTTCTTTTCACCTGAAGACATGGCCAGGGACACAACACAATCCCTTTTCTTTCAGTCCAGGAAGAGGAAACCAGGCCACACAACCAACAACCAATCCTTTTGTATAAGCCACACAGACAGGGGAGTGAATTTTAATCACATGGCTGCCGTCTTGCTTTTTCTGGCCCTCTGGAGATGCCACCGTGTTCTGGTGCTGCTCAGCTCCCTTGAAGTCTCTTTTTTCTTCTGCTCTCTGGCTTGTTTTTCCTTTCCATGAACTGGCCCATTCCCTCCCTCACCCAAGTTGGGACTCCTTCACTGCCTGCAATTGACCAGAGAAGCCCAGAAGTGTCCGCCATTCCCTCTAGGCCGCCTTCTGCCTTCATGATCCCTACCTGGTGTCGGGCATTGTAGACCTTCTGGACGGCCATCATGAGTGGGGTCTCGATCAGCATCAGCAGCGTCAGGCGCCAGGACAGGCCGATCATGAATACGTAGAGCCCAACGGACTTGACCAGGTTGCGCAGGAAGACATTGGTGTTGAGCGGCACCGAGCGGCTCATCATAGTTGTGTCTTTGGAAAGGCGGGAGGTCAGCGTCCCTGTGGGCAAAGAGATATTGTTCAACAAATGCCATACTGGCAACACAGGAAGGGAGATTATAGGAAATAGTCCATCCACCACCCTCCTGNTACTGAAATAAATGAACTTTTGCACGATTATTCTATTTTTTTGAGTTTCACCTGTATTTAAATCTGGGTAGCTTTCTGAAAGGTGAAACCTGTATAAAGTTTTGTTTTTAAGCATCAGAAATCTTTGAAATCAGTTTGCAATTTTCCATGAAAGATAAGAGTTTTTAAGTCTACAAAGAATTCTATATTACTCTATAAGGTTTTTGATGAACAAATAAAATAGAAAACAGACTGCGAATACTTCTGGTGGTAATTGGGGGCAGTGAGGTAGAAGTATCTTTTATTTTTATGTATGGAAATGGATAAAGTTCAGTTTCTCTCAAGTGGAATTTGTAAATTCTAAGTATTTCATCTATTTAAAACCATTCAATCTTGGGCCTTGCAAATATACTGCAAAAATTATTTAAAAATGTGAATATATCTCCATAAAGATAGTGTTAATGCATAGACTGATATTTTTCTCTGAAGTAGCACTTACAGCAATTGAGTCTGAAAAGTGCCACTTATATATATTTCAGTTGAATAAATAATTGATTCTATTTCTCACATAATAATTCATTAATTGTGATTAAGAGATGTTGGATAACCTTGACCTAGAAAAGCATAGTCATATTTATAATTCCAGTGAGTTAATCTTATATTTTCCAAACTATTGAACTTTCCCTCTGAAATTCCCAGTTTGTACTGCCACTCATTCTAATTGACATCTCTGACCAGAAGCTAAACATCTCTGACCAGGAACTAAAAATATTCTGTAGCCTTGGCATGCATGTCTATCTTATTTTTAATCCAATCGTCTATTTAATTGTTTGGAATTAATATCTAACTCTATTTAAATTAGCAATATTTATATTTAACCTCTTTCTAACTCTTGTTCACAAACTTTTTGGTGTCCTGCTGGAGCATCATGGTTGATATCTGATTCATAAAAATTCTAAGGTGTCTGGAATAATCAGATAGGAATCAAGCAAAATCAGGCATAGGCATACTTCTTGAAAGAAAACATACTCATTCTGAAAAATTGAGAATATTGTTTGAAATGCGTTGCATTTCACATTCTATTAAAGTCACATTCTGGCTTTAATTAAAATATATATATTTTTTATTAGTTTGGGCAACATTGGACAAAGCGTAATTATTGCTTTATTAACCTCAGCTACCTTCTAACAAAGGGAGTTTACCCTTGGGAAAAAAAATCTTTGGGTACAACATAATGCAACAACAGACTTTTGTATGTTTGAAATTAAGCAAGAGATTTCTGTCTCTGAAAAATGTTCAGATTCTCTTTGTATAGCAATCAATTTTATTTAACCATCAAATCATTTCAGTTAAAACCACATCAGTGGTGGGTTTCAAAAATTGTTCGAACCTACTCTGTGGGTGTGGCCTCCTTTGTGGGAGTAGCTTGCCACCCATGTGAC